GATAGGTCTTAAGATGAACATGGACAAAACAAAGATCATGTTTAATGTCCATGTCACACCTATGCCGGTAGTTGTTGGGAACACTAAGCTCGAAGTTGTTGACGAGTATGTTTACCTGGGACAAATAGTCCGACTAGGTAAGTCCAACTTCGACCGAGAGGTCAATCGACGGATTCAACTCGGTTGGGCAGCGTTCGGGAAATTACGGCACATCTTCTCGTCAGGTATACCTCAAAACTTGAAAACGAGACTGTACACCCAGTGCGTGTTGCCAGTGATGACATACGGAACTGAGACGTGGTCCTTCACTGCTGGCCGGATGAGGAAGCTCAAGGTCGCTCAGCGAGCTATGGAGAGGGCTATGCTCGGAGTTTCTCTGCGTGATAAACTCAGAAATGAGGATATCCGCAGTAGAACCAGAGTGACCGACATAGCCCAACGGATTAGTAAGCTGAAGTGGCAATGGGCCGGCCATATAGCTCGAAGAACCGACAACCGATGGGGAAGAAAGGTTCTCGAGTGGCAGCCTCGTACCGGCAGGCGAAGTGTAGGGCGTCCCCCCACTAGATGGAGTGACGACCTAGTAAGATTTGCAGGAAGTCGATGGATGCAGGTGGCTCGGGACCGTGCTTTGTGGCATTCTTTGGGGGAGGCCTATGTTCAGCAGTGGACTTGTGAAGGGCTGTAATGAAGTACTTCACGTAACACAAATTTATATATACGTCGTAGAGCCACGATGCAGTTATGAATAGGTCGGCTCGACCGGGGAAGGACCATGCTCTCACCGAATACCCGCATAAAATAGCAGCTTAATGCTGCTGTGTTTCTTATGGTGAATGTAGGGAACTGGAGACACTTTTTACTGGAAACGAGGCATTGCATCTTAGTCCTCACGGGTGTCAACGCATCTGCATTTTGATTCTTAATCGAAGATAAATGTGAATGTCTATGGGCCACAGCATCCACTTACTTTTACACTTACTGTTTAAAAATAATATAAGGGTGACAAACGAGCCACAGTCCACCTGATGGTAAGTGGTTGTTCTGGCCCATAGACATCTACATCTATCCCCGTTTGCGAATCAAAATGCAGATACGTTGTCAGTCGTGAGGACTAAGATGGAATGCCTATTTTCCAGTAAAAAGGGTCGTCGGTTCTCTACACTCACCATACCAAACAGCAGAATTACGCTGGTATTCTGTGAGAGCGTGGTTTCCCCGGTCGAGCTGACCCATTCGTGCGACAACTATACAATTAATGTAGCTGCAGCATGGCTCTACCACGTTAAAAAATATTTTCATTCTTCCTTTACCTATCAGTCAGTATACGGAGCCAAAGTTAACGCACTCGTATTATCAAGCAATCAGTGTCTCGTTAAAATCGTCGGGCCTTGTTTAACAAATTGTTAGTTTCCGGTTCAGATCTGTCCCATCCATTAATGGATTTAGGTCTCACCCAAAGTAGGTTTGGTGGTTTAACAACCGCAGTTTTTTCTTAAATAAGAAATCTGATGTCTTGCGTCTTTATATTTACTGTAAGGTATACTTGTATACGAGGGACACACTGAAATGAGCGGGAATAAAAAAAACCACATGCACGGTATAGCTAAATTGTATTTTATTGTTTTCGAAGTATTCTCCGTTCAACTTAATGTACTTTTCCATTCGTGCAAACCAATCATTAAAACAGTAATTCCAGTCTGTAGTTGATGTTGACAATATGGCTGATTTGTACGCTTCCACACCTGCTTCGGGGTCTTCAATTCGTTGACCGCGTAGTAAATCTTTCATTCTAGGGAATGTAAAGAAATCGTTTGGGTTCAGTTCAGGACTGTACGGAGGATGGCTCATCAGCTCAACGTTTTCCTGTTTCAAACAATCATTTGTCTTCCGAGCCGTATGGGAGCTCGCATTATCGTGATGTAAGATGATGCGACGTTTCGGGTTATTTTTTCGGAGTGCAGCTATCATTTCTGGCAAACAAACCGTGATATACCACTCAACGGTAACCGTTCTGCGTTCCTGTAAAGGAATTGTAACAACATGCCCCTTTTTCGAGACAAACCTAGCGACCATTTTCTTTGACACGCTGCGGGAGCGAACCACTTTTGTTGGTTTGACCTCGTCTTCGAAGCCCCAAACTGTTGACTGGTGTTTTCTTTCAGGTTCGTATGAATAAATCCATGATTCGTCACCTGAGACGATATTATATACGGCATTTGACTTCCCTCCATTGAAGCGTTGCAGAGTATTCTGGCACCAGGCTACACGAGCCGCCTTTTGCTCTTCGGACAAATTGTGGGGAACCCAGCGGGAAACTAAGCTTTCTTACACACAGTTCATTATATAATATCGACTGAATTGCAGTCATTCCGATACTGATAACAGCCCGAATCTGCTCGCATGTCACATGACGGTCATCTAATATAACAGTTCGCACAGCTGCGATGTTTTCAGGCGTGACCGCTGTTCTTGATCGACCTGCAGAAAAAACAGTGCTGAGCGACACACGACCGCGTCGGAACTCGGCACACCAGCGGTATATTGTCGTTTGACTCGGTGCTTCAACATCATAAATCGAAACAAGTTCGCTGGGACATTTATCTTGAGATAAGCCGCGACGAAAATTGTGATAAATTATGGCACGGAAATGTTCACGCGTGAGCTCCATTTCTGTTAACGACGTGTCAACTTTAAACCAACATAGTTATTGTTTTTAAACATTTTTTAAATTGTTTGAATGTCATTAAGATTCTAAGAGGCCAGTATTCAAATTCTAAAAAAGGTTTTATTGTAACTCAATCCGAAATATTCTATACCCGATCATTTCAGTGTGCCCCTCGTATGCTATGTGTTTCATCAAGTTATCATAATTTGCACAGTAATATATCTTATGATTATGAAGTCGGTTAAAAAGAAAACAGGTAATATGGTAACATATTATGCACGACTAGTTTTGTGAAAGCAGTGAACGCAATTGTGAAAGTTAATTTCGCTACAGTTGCAGTTTATAGATTAACTTGCCTCGCATAAAATTGTTGATTATTGCTTACTTAACTTAAGTATTAAATTATTAATTACCTCTATACCTGTCTTTTTCTATTATCATTTAGTGAACAGAGAGAGAGAGAGAGAGAGAGAGAGAGAGAGAGTAACTTTAATCATAACTTACATTTATGTCTTTTTTTATAAATAAGGCCTTAACGCTTAAAGTTATTGTCCATTGCACATGTCCATTTCCATGGACTTTGGCATGTGGTTACACCTATAAAAGTTATACCCTATATTCGTCCCACTGCTGGGCACAGGCCTCTCCTCATTTCTGAGAAGGTTTTAGGGCAAGGAAGTGTCCACCGCTCTGCCCCAATGCTAGTTGGCGAACTTCACATGTCTTCAAAATATTTTTTTCTTATTTATTGTATTATTGATTTATTGATAACAAATAACATATCCCTATGTATTATGTATTTTAAAGAACCGTGGTAGCTCAGGAACTAAGAGCTCGCTGTAAATTTCATAGTACGCGAGCAACCCGGGTTCGATCCCCTCTGGCACCAATGAAATTGTTAATTGCAATTTTATGTGCTGATTTACCACCTGCTCGGTGGTGAAGGATAACATAGTGAGGAAGGGAGAAATAAGAAAAAAATATTTCGAAGAAATATGAAGTTCGCCAAAAAGCATTGGGGCAGCATGGCGGACATTTCTTTGGCCTAAAACCCTCCCAGCAGTGGGACGTATATAGGCTGTAACTTTACATTTTTTACTATGTATTATTTCTATTGCAGTTCTTGTGCTGTTCATTAAATGGAGTCCATACTTCAAGATAGTACCCCTTTTACTGGAAACGGGACATTCCATCTTAGTCCTCAGGGGTGACAACACACCTACATTTTGATTCGTAATCGACAATAGATGTAGATGTCTATGGTTCACAGCAACCACTTACCATCAGGTGGAATGTGTGCTTATTTATCGTCATATAAAAAACAGTATTCGAGAATTATACTATATTATAGTGTTAGTGTATTTTATAGCAATATAATACTTGTACTTTAAGGATGTTTAAGTTGTCTAGGATCTCGCATATAAAACTAAACAATTTGAAGGACCTTTCTACCGACTTCAAACGAGGACTTAATTCGACTGTATGTTTTTTTTTATGTGTGTTACCTCATAATTTTTTTTCTGGCTGAACCGATTTCCATGATTATTTTCTTTATTTGACAGCTGGTGCTTCATATGTGGTCCTATATAAATTTGATCTAGTTCATAGTTTTTGTGTTTCGCGTGGTGAGTGTAGAAAACCGGAGACCCTTTTTTACTGGAAACGAGGCATTCAATCTCAGTCCTCAGGGGTGACAGCGCAACTGCAATAAGCTGAAGTGGCAATGGGCCGGCAATATAGCTCAAAGAACCGAAAACCGATGGGTAAGAAAGGTCGTAAACTCTTACTGATAAGCGTAGTGTAGCGCGGCCCCTCCACTAGATGGAGTGAAGTCCTGGTAAGATAAAAGTCGATGGATGTAAGTGGCTCAGGACCGTGCTTTGTGACATTCCTTGGGGGAGTCCTATGTTCAGCTGTGGAGTAGTGAAAGGCAGTAGTGATGATGATGATAGGATAGACACGCCAGGGCCACGTCGGGTCAAGAAAAATCAGTTAAATTTTTTCCGTCAAGAAATCCTCAAAAGCCGCCCGGAGTCAGGAAGTTGATGGTATCTCATCCCCGTGCCTCGATAAGCACGTAAAGCCTGTAGCCCAGCGCTCTTCCATCTCTCTCCGGTCGTGTCGACTTATCGTCCAACTTTCACCGGACTATGAGAGTGAGGGAGTAGAGAGTGCACCTGTACTTGTGCATATACTTGCGCACTATAATCCTGTCCTGCGCCGAAGGCTAGTCTCCTTTGAGGCTAGCCGCCGTAAATTCCGTCTGGAGGACATTACTACCCCGCAGTGCACATCACTGTGTATAATTGTTATAATAATTACTTTTCAACAGATCTACAAGTGCGTGCATTCCTGCGAGACCCAGCCAAGCTCTCCGATCACCTCAAGGACAAGGTGGAGGTTTTCAAAGGCGATGTCCTCGAGCCCGACTCCGTCGCCAACGCGGTAGAGGGCAACGACGGCGTCGTTGTCACCCTGGGCACCCGTAATTGCTTGGATCCGACCTCCGATCTATCCGAAGGTCTTAAAAACATACTAGAGGCAATGCGGGCCAAGAACGTTAAGAATATAACCGTATGCATGTCCGCTTTTCTATTTTACGAACCGGACAAAGTGCCTGAAAAGTTCGTCCCGTTGAACGACGACCATAAGAGGATGTATGAAGCACTGAAGGAGAGTGGCCTGAATTGGGTCGCCGTATTCCCACCTCATATTTCAGGTAAGTTACTTATTATCCAAAGATAATTGTATTGTTGGTCTATTAGTCAGTTATTGGGTATCTAGTAGTCAGTATTTTCCATCAAGAAATTCTCAGTAGCTGCCCGGAGTCAGGAAGTTGGCGGTGTCTCACCCCCGTGCCTCGGAAAGCACTTAAAGCCGTTGCTCCCGCGCCTGATCTCTCTCCGATCGTGTCGGTTTACCGTCCCATCGGACTAGGGGAGTGAGGGAAGAGACTTTTTATTTTTTGATACCATTACGCAGCGACCGGGGAATCAACACCCGTGATCGCCGCTTTTATTACAACACCAAGACGGCGCCCGGAACCGGCCTATGGTAGTGGGCCGTGATGACAATCCGGGTAATGGGGAGCGCCCCGAGACCCGGGACCAGCACTACTCGGCACCTGCAGAGGAAAACAACGTAGAGGGAAGAGAGAATACCAAGTGTGTGTTTGTACATACACTTTGCGTACACGTTGAGACTTGCCGCCGTGACCGAAATTCGGTTTAGAAAAAAATTCAATTCCAGAAAAGGTAACTCGTCAGCCGTCACTGCAGTTTCTATGAAATTCGTAACCATCAAAATATTCGGTTTTGTTATGTTAGTAAATACCTACCTAATAAAATATTATGATACGTCAAACGTCTAGGATGTCTTCTAAGAAATGCTCGTGCTCATTTCGATGTCCTTGTGCACGTTTCAAATTTATTTTGCATTCCAACTATGTATTGTATAACAACTAATAATTTTATTCAATATTGATTATGAGTATGTAACACATATCTTAAGTCATTTATTAAGCTTATTACCACTAGTTTCGAAATATACCTCTGCCCCGTGAAAAACCAACAAGAATCCAAGCGGATTTTTTTAAATAATAATTTACAATGTTGTACAATTCAATTAATTTTTAAACATATTTTTTATTTTTTCATTTTATAGAATAAGGGTGACAAACGAGCAGGCAATCCACCTGATGGTAAGTGGTTGCCGCGGCCCATAAACATCTATCTTCGATTACGAATCAAAATACAGATGCGTTGTCACCCGCAAGGACTAAGATGGAATACCTCGTTTCCAGTTAAAAAAGGGTCTCCGGTTCTCTACACTCACCATACGATACGCAGCAGCGTTAAGCTGTCATTTGACGCTGGTATTCTGTGAGAGCGTGGTTCTTCCCCGGTCAAGCCGACCCATTCGTGCTACAACTATACTACTAATAAAACTGCAGCATGGCTCTACCACGTAGAGATGTAATAAAGATGTAATGAGGATGCAAAAACATTTCGGAATCACGTATTTTTTAATATTATAATAACCCTGCATATAGAGAGTATGGTAAAGTTATGCTGCAGCTATGTAACTGGTATAGACCTAGCACGAATGGGGACCGTGGAAGGTTCGAAACGACCCATTTGTGCTCTCACAGAATACCAGCGTAAAATAGCAGCTTAACGCTGCTGTGTTTCGTGTGGTGAGTGTAGAGAACCGGAGACCCTTTTTACTGGAAACGAGACATTCCATCTTAGTCCTAACTGGTAACAACGTATCTGCATTTTATGATGTAGATGTCTATGGGCCACAGCGACCACTTACAATCAGGTGGACTGTGTGCTCGTTTGTCACCCTTATCCAAAAAAATACATCGTCAATTTTATTGATGAACTTAGGCTACCCTCAAGGAGGGTGCTGAGCCCTGCATCTATCGACTTCTTGCATCTTTGCACCCAGGTCCACTTTTACGAGGTTACCACTCCATCCATCTATTCTTTGTACAACTTTTGTTTAATAAAAGCGGTATATAGGTAATACTTGTCACAAAAGAATCACTGACTCTTTGGAGTCGAATAATAATACAATTATTTATATATTTATCGCTGTTCTATTGACTCTGTAAATATAGTGAGAAGCCAAAGTTAGATTTATTTCTTTATTTTTTTTCGTAAGAGACTACTTCAGATTCAGGTTAAAATTGGTCTTATAACTCTCTCCCTCATAGCAACATTCCATTCCATACTACGTTATGCTATGGAAATAAGTAAAATTAACTGATCTAGCTGTTACAACACATGGGCTTCTAATCTTTTTTACAGCATTTTTTTTTTTTATAGGATAGGGTGACAAACGAGCACACAGTCCACCTGATGGTAAGTGGTTGCTGTGACCCATAGACATCTACATTTATCTTAAATAAAGAATCAAAACGCAGATGCGTCGTCACCCGTGAGGACTAAGATGAAATGCCTCTTTTCCAGTAGTGTCAAGCTGCCATTTTACGCTGGTATTCTGTGAGAGCGTGGTCCTTCCCCGGTCGAGCCGACCCATTCGTGCTGCAACTATACCACTAATATAGCTGCAGCATGGCTGTACCACGTATAAATATACCTACTGCATAACTAAATTTCCTTGCCAATTTAGATATTTGTGGGCTCCATTGAAGATTCGGCTAAAACTAAAACGCCTCCACAGTAAAGAAGACAGTCCTGTGTAGAGGTCCTTCGTATTTATACGTGATAGAGCCATACTGCATCTATATAATGGTTAAAGTACGAATGTGTCGGCTCGACCGGGGAAGGACACAGGATCACAGAATACCGAGAATGTGGTGAGTGTACGAGAACCAGAGACCCTTTTTTACTGGAAACGAGGCATTCCATCTCAGTTCTCAGGGCGGACAACAAATCTGCATTTTGATTCTTAAGGACAGTAACAGCTTATATACTTCCCACTGCTGGGCCTCCTCCTCTCATTTCTGAGAGGGCCTAGTGCAAGGAAATGTCCATCGCACTGCCCAAATGCGTGTTGGCGAACTGCACATGTCTTCGAAATGTTTTTTTTTTTCTTAGACATGCAGATTTCATATTTCCTCACGTTGTCTTCCTTCACCGCCAAGCACGTGATAAATCAGCACTTAAAATTGCAATTAACAATTTCATTGGTGCCGGCAGGGACCGAACCCGGGCTGCTCGCGTACTGTGAAATTTACAGCGAGCGCTTAGCCCCTTGACCTACTACGGCTTTTATTTTGATTCTTACTTGAGGATAAATGTAGATGTCTATGGGCCAGAGCATTCACTTACCATGAGGTGTACTGTGTGCTCGTTTGTCACTCTTTATTATCTATACAAATAAATAAAATTGAAGTGTCTGTTTGTAATGTTAAAATAACAGCTTTTTACTAAACGCATATGAAAGTATATACGGTACTATAAATATAACCAACAAACAACTTTTAAAATTTTTTTCTGTCTGCTGTCTTTCTGTCTGTCTGTCTGTTTGTTCCGGCTAATCTCCGAAACGGCTGGACCAATTTTGACGGGACTTCCAATGGCAGATAGCTGATGTTATAAGGAGTAATTTAGGATAGTTTTATTTTAGAAAAATAATTAGGGTTCCGTGCAAAAAATTAAAACCCATGAAACTAGTAAATTCCACGCGGGCGAAGTCGCGAGGGACAGCTAGTTCTATAAAATAAAAAGTATAAACCTTCACTGCACGATCGTTATCGGAATGCTCGCGTACTTGAAATATGAAATTATTACATCCGTCCATTGTTAAATACTAATTTACTTGTAATTTTATTTGCAGAGGACCCAAGCCGTGAAATCATCGTTGAGATTAACCCACAGAAGTCGCCCGGCAGAGCCATCTCCAAGTGGGACCTCGGCGCGTTTATGGTTGACGCTCTTTTCGAGTCTAAATACTACAAGTCTGTCATTGGGTTGTGTAATGTACCTAAGCAATAGCGTTGTGATTTTTGATGTTACGGTAGATAGATAATTCACTGTCGGCGAAAAAATAAGAATAGAACAAAATGTTATTACAGATTATTAGACACCTTATAATAATATAATTGTTAGGTTGAAGTCACACGGTTTGTAGTTATACGGTGGTGGTGTTCTATTTAAATAATGTATGTAGTCAAAGACTTCTATATATACTATAACATGGGCATTACAATACTGATACTGCGCACTAAGTTACGGTCAATTCTCCGTAACTTCTTTAGTCGACTGCGAGCGGGCGAGCAGAGTAGTTCTTTGTTATGTAAACAGCGCGAACGTTGTTTGCGACAATCTTACACTGGTTTTGTTTAATATGACTAAGAAAACACTGGTTTTGTTTAATATGACTAAGAAAACACTGGTTTTGTTTAATATGACTAAGAAAACGCTGTCAATATTTATGGGCGCACTTTGTCGACGTTGTTTGAAGTTTATGAATTGCCGGTCTCGTAGTATGTATGGTGTTTGTTTGTAGCATTAGCAGAGCAAAAACTGTGTGACAGGGGACAACTTCGCTCTCCTAGCGCCAAGACTTATGTATTGGTATTGGCCAGTTTCATAAGTAAGTATGGAGTTCGCCTCTTAAGCGTAGTATTACGCTCTTAGGTCCATCACGCACGTAAGCGATCTCTTTTCGGCTAATAGGTTTGCCATACGTCTTTTTCCGAACTTTGTCCCGATTAGAAGGTATCCAACAAAATGCACAAATCCGCCTTTAATGGCTTTCGAAGCACTTGCGTTCGTTCCACTTGCAGCTATAGCGGCGACGAGATCACACGATCAGCAAATGTGATGACAAGCTGACAAACATCACACATTTGCATTTTGATTCTTAATCAAGGATAGATCCAAATGTTTATTGACCACTGGATCCATCAGGAGGACTATGTGCCCGTTTACCATTCTTATTCTATAAAAAAAAAGTTCAGTGGTGCCAACTTAACATTAACAAGTTTCGCGCCAGAAACAAGTGCTATTTAAATTTGACCCAAATTGTCCTAGGGTGTGATTTAAGTGATCATGAGGCTTCGCCTTCGCTCTAAATACTTAGTAATAGGAAATTTGTGCATGTTTCTGATGTTTAAAACTTAATTTTTTTATGGCGGGAAATGAAATCAGTCATGTATTATATAATTTTATTGCCTTAAGTTTAAGTTGAATAAAGGTGTGTGTATGTATATCTATTAATTTTACAATATTTAAAACTAAGAATTGCTCCTAATAATATATGTATGTAAATTATACTTTTTTTTAATTGAGAATTATTTTCAAATAATGTTAAACACGCCTGTGTTTGTCTTGTTGAGCCTGCGCAATTCGTCGGCAGTGATAGACCAATAGGTAAGAAATAACAATACAGTATATATTATAGTTTGTTTGGCCGGATGTGGAAGCAAAGGTTATCATGACAAAAAAAACAAGTTATTAACCTTGATTAGATTGTTTAGTAGTAAATAGACTTTAATTGCAATATTTTTTTCTTCTAATAATTTTATTCTAACATTGGCGCCAAATTTTCTTTTTTTATCTATACTTCTTGAGTTTCTTGGGCCAATTATGCTCTAAAAAGTGTGGGAACTGTTAAAATACTTCACGAATAATTGTATTTATTTTTTACACATATTGAGTTAGAAATTGAAATAAAAAATATGTTACTACAAAGGAAATGTTTTATTTTTCATTATATACCTACGGTAGCACATCTTAATGCTTTTTTATGGAAGAGGGGATGTTACGGCCCTCAGTTGCCCCGACAGAAGTCGACTGTACTAGGGCCCATGAGTAATACACTCGACGAGCAACCGGAGGGTTCGAGCACAAACTTACCGAGTTCCGGAGGTAGTGTCGACCACAAGGCGCAGTCAGGTTGTAAGTAAGGTGTATGTAAGTAGTGTGTGAAAGTGTGTAGATGTAACCTGACGTTGCCGATGTAATCTGAGAGCAGACCCACAGGCGCTGCTTTTCTCCACAATGTGCGATCCCTCCAGTGGGCGTTCCCCAATAGAGATTTTCTGCTTTTATTTCACTATACTAGTTTATCAACTTTATTGTACATTTAATTAACTTCAAATTTAACTAAATCAACGTTAATCGAACTTAAAACAAGTGACACACTGCCCAACTTAAGAACTGTTGGTCAAAGTTCAATGTCCTATGTTCACTTAGCACAAAATTATAATCGAGCACACGCGATCTCCTCTCGAGTCAAATTTTTAGCGTTTCAAAACTCCCGAGACGCCTCGTTGTCACGTAAAGGAACAAAAAGACAACGCAATAAGAGGCAGTCGTCACGCGATCGAATGGTACCAGCGTAACTTCTCGACTGTTGGGCGCGGACGCCCAGTGCGACGCGCGCGGGCAAGCGTGGCCAGGTGGTGACCTTTAAATTCCATCGGAAGGACACGCCGAGACGCGCGTCTTGAATGCAAGTTTTTAAAAATATTAATATTTGGCCTAAACAGCGGGGTAAAAGACCTTGCGGCTCTACTGATGGTAACAACTACAACACCGTAGGAATGGCAGATGCGTTCTCGGCCTTTTAAAAAGAGAATAGGCTCTTTTCTTGAAGATCCCTAAATCGTATCGGTCCGGAAAATCGCACTAGTGGTAACTAGTCGATTCCAGGAAAATTGTGTGAAGAAGAAAACTTATTATAAATCGCATAGAGATGGACCGTCAGCATCCAGACGGTGTAGATGGTATTACGAGTTTTGTCGCGATGTGCGGTGGTGAATTTTCGTCTGAAATTAGTTTATCCAGTTCATTATCAATACCTGTTATAATTCATCACTGGACACGACCCCTTTTTTTTTTTTTTTTTTTATATGAGAGGGGGCAAACGAGCATGCGGCTCACCTGATGGTAAGTGACTACCGCCGCCCATGAACAACCGCAACACCAGGGGAATTGCAGATGCGTTGCCGGCCTTTTAAAAAGGAGTGGGCTCTTTTCTTGAAGGTCCCTAAGTCGTATCGGTCCGGAAAAATCCCTGGTGGTAAACTATTCCACAAGGAAGTTGTGCGAGGAAGAAAACATCTTCTAAATCGCACAGTGGTGGACCGCCAATCATCCAGATGGTGTGGATGGTATCGGGAGTTCTGCCGCGATGTGCGTTCGTGAAATTTGGCGGTACCCCTTCTTTTTTAGTTATGCATTTGGTTGCGGGTTCAAATTCTGTACGATACAAACCTTTGTATCGTACAGAATTTGAACCCGCAACTACAAATAATTTTTCCGGTCTGCGTGTTTGTCCATGTGCATTTTATGCACATAAAACACTACGACGATATAGGGAAATCTCAACTTTATAAGAAAAAACTAAAAAGATGAAAATCATTACGTGGCAGTGGCAATGGCAGGTAGTAGAAGACAACAAATATAAGTGAACTCTTCATTCATACGCGGTAAAGCCACGTTGCAGCTATACGAGTATTATGGTTGTAACACGAATGAGTGTTCGACCGGGAAAGACCACGCTCTCACATAATACCAGCGTAAAATAGCAGCTTAATACTGCTGAATTTTGTATGTTGAGTGTAGTGAACCTGAGAATAAAAAAACATGTTAAAGCTCAGGGGTGACAGCGTATCTGAGCATAAAAAAATTGCGCGTGTAATTGTGTACACGCGTACGAAGTGTAACTTCTTTACTACATATTCTTTTTTTATTTTATATTTTACATAAGTAGATTAAATAGTAGTGTACTCGTACAGTCCTGGCGGTGAAACGTTGCAAGAAAACGTGACGTTTTTTATTTTTAATACCGCACTAAAGGGGAATGCCCAATTCTGGCCATGAAACGCCCAACAATTTGCAATTGTTAAAAAAATACATCCTCTCTTTTATTTGCTACTTGGTTAATTGCGGTATTTATGTATCCAAAAAAGGTTGCAATATTTTTGCACAAAAAAAAAGTACCGATAAGATAAAAGTGAAATTACGTAAATCCGCCAGGATTAGTTTTTGGATAAAATAAAAAGTGTTGCCAATAACAAATCTCGTTAAAAAAGTCGATTCTGTTCTTCCAATCGATATTTTATGGTATCATTATTATAATGGTAATATTATTATTCGATAATTATTATGATGGTATGATAATTAAACAAGCGAATTGCTAGTTGATTTACCATGAACTCCTTAGAACATAACAAAAACGCTATTGCACAATTTAACTGTTATTCTTATCTGTTCTTAAAAATACATTTAAAATGGAATTAAAATAAATAAAACAAAACATATTTTAAAAGGCGTGTAGAACTTAAAGCGAATCAAAGATTATTCTTTTTTATGAAACTATAAATCGAATTAAAAAAAATATTTATCGATTTTATGTCTGTTAATTGGCAACATCGAACCTGACAGCTAGGCCCATGTCATAATTATCAAAACTAAATAGTCACAAGTCGAATGACTTTGGATGTGTGTTATTTTGTTTGTTTTCTCGCGGATTTGTTATCTAAGCAACGAATAAGCTTTCTTTCTAAATGGACTAAATGGCCGTGTAGTGGCGGTTAAGAATATCCACTACCCCATATCTTCCCGTGGGTGTCGTAAAAGGCGACAAAGGGAAACAGGCAGGAGATGGGCAGCAGCATCTTCCTGGTAACGACAAAATACAATAAAAAACTGCGGTTGCCAACCCGCTCGCCAAGCGTGGCAACTATGGCAATATACCCCCCATAATGAAAGTTACGAAGAGACGGCCCCCAGTCCCCGGCGGCCCCGCTATTCCTGGCTACGGTGGCGACCATGGTAACGGCGGGGCAGGGGGTGCTAAGAATCTCCGGTGGAGGTTCGGTTGCCACCTACAACGACTCGACCTGGCAACATACAACGCACGCACCCTGAGGACTGACGAGAAGATTATGGAGCTGGAAGAAGAGATAGACAAGTTACGCTGGCATATTATAGGATTATCCGAAGTCCGAAGAGAGGGGGAGGACACGGTAATCCTCGAATCC